GTCCTTCAGCCTTCATAGAACAGAGAAGAAGCATGCAGCACTGGGGCGGGGGTGGGGGGTGGAGTGAGGATGGCAGAGGAGAAACTTGATTCACAACCTGGAGCCTTCCAGAACATCCAGTCCAATGGTCTCATTGTGCAGATGAAGCAAATGAGTCACATTTGCTGGCCTCCGGCCAAGGTCAAAAGCATTCAGGCCCTGAGACTCCTGAGCTAGACAGATTCTCTCTCACACAGCCAAGAACAGTTGGGTTGGAGGATGGCTCCCCAGCCCTGTCTCCTGTCTCTTTATTGATCCCTTCTCAGTGATGATGGGGGTAGTCGACCTCCAGGCCAGCCTGAAATCAGAGGTGTGGCCCTGACTGGAGGCAGAACTCCGGAGAGGGACTTCCAGAGAGACATGCTGAGATGTTCCTGGAAAGACCCCGGACAGCCCCCAAGTCGAGTGTGCCATACTGATGACTAGGCTTATTTCTGGTCCCCAGTAAATCTGGTGACTAGTATAATCCATCAGCTGTCAGGCCTCTGCCTGGCAGCTCCCTGAAGACTCCAGAGAGTTCTCTGAGGCTGAGCCAGAAAGGGAGGGGCTGGCTGGGGTGCAGCTGGCAGAGGCCTGTCAAGGGCGTGTCTAACATGGCCAAATATTCAGGCATCTTTACAAAGGGGAGAGGCACTCCCTGCTCAGAGTACCCCAGACTCTGGGGTTACAGACAAGAGGAGGGAGGAATCCCATGGAGGAAACCCTGGATCCTGAAGAGGAATGAAAGGGATAGGGTTATGCCGCTTGCCTCAGAGTTCAGGGAACCCTCTAGATGACAATGTTATTCTTTTTCTCCCCCTCTCCCTTCATTCCCTCTCTGTGTACAGCTCTGGCTGTCCTGGAATTCTCTCTGCAGACCAGGCTAGTCCTAAATTCACAGAGATCTGCCTGCTTCTGTATCCCCGATGCTAGAAGTCCAGACCACCACATTCCCCCTATACCTCCCTCTTTCATTCCTACCCACCCTTACTTCTCTCTGTGTCTTTTGACTTTTTTTTTCCTTAGATTTTTTTTATGTGTATGGGTGTGTATTTAAGTCCAGAAGAGGGCTTGAATTTCTTAGAGCTGGAGTTAGGGATTGGCATTTGAACCTATGTCCTCTAGAAGAGCAGACAGTGTTCCTTACTGCTGAGATAACCACTGAACTGTCTTTTATTTTTTAAAAGATTTATTTATCACATATACAATGTTCTGCCTGCATGCCAGAAGAGGGCACCAGATTGAATTGTAGATGGTTGTGAGCCACCACCATGTGGTTGCTGGGAACTGAACTCAGGACCTCTGGAAGAGCAGTCAGTGCTCTTAACCTCTGAGCCATCTCTCCAGCCCCTGAACTGTCTTTCCAGCTCCCTTTGTTTGCTTTTTATTTTGAGACATGGTCTCACTCTATAACCTAAGTAGGCCTTAAACTTTCGACCCATCTGTGTGTATGTATGTATATATTTCTTTTTTTCTGTTTTTTGTTTTGTTTTTTGTTTTTCGAGATAGAGTTTCTCTGTGTAGCTTTGGAGGCTGTCCTAGAACCCGCTCTGTACACCAGGCTGGTCTCAAACTCACAGAGATCCCCCTGCCTCTGCCTCCCTAGTGCTGGGATTAAAAGCGTGCCAACGCCAGACTCAATATATATTTTTAATTTCTTTACTTTTGTCTTATGTGCATTGGTGTTCTGCCTGCTTTTATGTTTGTGTGAGGGTGTCGGGTCCCCAGGAACTGGAGTTAGAAGTACAGG